CCCATTCTTCTATCATAAATTGTTCTAATTCTAAAATATTTTTTGGTAATCTCATTTCTATATTTCTTTTAGTGATAATCCAAAGGTTTTCAATAGAATTTAAATATAGACTATTAAAAGGCCAATTAATAATTTTAGAAAAAATTTTCTTTAAAAATACTTTAGCAATTTTATTTGTATACTTAGGATCATTATCTTGTTGAAAGCATTAATTGTTTCCAAGTAGTCTATTTATTTCTTGTTTATGATTTTGCAAAATATTGATATAAAATTTTGTATTCATAATTTCTTTAAAACAAAAAAGAGAAGTTTTTTCTTTTGTACAAAATTCTTCCCATACAAAGATTTTAGTACAATCTTTAGGCATTTTTTTAACTGGTCTTGTACATTTATATTATTGAGTAATTGGTTTTCTGAATAGTTGAAATGCTGTTTCATCAAAAAATAATGTTTTTTTCCAATTATTATTAAGATGTTTTTTTGTCCAAATAATACAAGCTTCTTTATAAGCAATAGTAAGCATAGGTATTTCTAAAGATAAATTATTTTTATAATCCATATTGACCAAATGTCTTAAAATTGTTAAATGTAATACTTTGGTATTAATATTAAATAATTTAATTGTCAAAGTTCTTGAGAAAAGTCTTGGATTATGATGTAAATATTGACTAATTGCTTTTGATTTATGTGCTATAATCTTTTTAGGATAATCACTATTAGATTTTCTTGAATTATTGCTTTTTGAATTCAATTTTTTGAGATTGTAATAAATAGTTGACATGTTTATGCCAGTTTGTAAGAGTTTAAATGTATCATAACAATTTAAACAATAAGTTGTATTCAAGTCAAAAATAAAACCACAAGTTTTAGGAGAGATAATTATTTTATTAACTCAAGACAAAAATACAATCCGAGTTTTACAAATGTAAAAAGGTCCTCCTTTTATAACTATTCTCCGTTATATAAATAACTATAAAAATACATAAATAAAAATAAATATTATTAATACATAAGTCCTTATTGGTTCTTCCAGAAGGTCTTATGTATTATAAATGTAAAATAAGAGAAAAATAATAATATAATAAATGTTACACATGCTTAATAATAATGTCCTGTTTCCTAAATAAGTATAAGATAATAAACACAATAATTAATAATAAATGATTAATAATATTCCGGAAAGTTCCATGATATTCTGGGAGGTTCCGGGGTGTCCCACAAGGTTCCAAGAAGTTCCGGGATGTTCCACAGTATTCCGGGGTATTCAAGGATGTTCCAGGGGTTTCTGGTCACACAGCATATGGTGCAGTAAAAGCAGAAAAATTGTTATATTCTCCTCTCCTTAAGAGAAGACGTCCTTGTCGACTCAAATTCCTTGACTTTTTTGCTGGCATTGGTAAGATTTTCCATAAGTTCCCAAGTTGCATCATGTAATGAATATCCTATCCATTTAATCAAGTATTGTGGTTTCCTTTGGATGATCCTTTTGTCCAAGATGGTTTCCACTTCGTATTTCTCAGTGTTGGTTTCAGATATAAAGATTGGTGGAGGTGGAGTTGTTTGCTCAAAATCCGTGGGTGTTTCCTCATAGGGTTTCAGCAGAGACACATGGAAGACTGGGTGAATTCTCAAGGCAGGTGGCAAGTTTAGCTTGTACGTGGTGGTAGATATAACTTCAGCAACAGTATAAGGTTCGATGAATCTTGGAGAGAGTTTCCTTGTAGGGCGGTTTTTATCTACAGGATTTTTAATATTTTTAATAGAGAGCAAAACCTTGTCTCCAACTTTGAATTCCAAATAGCAGCGATGTTGATTGGCATATTTCACTTGTCGATCCTGTACTTTCAAGAGTGTGTCCTGTGACGGGCAAACGGCGAGTCTGTCGCTAATGCTAACAGGGGTTCGCGTAACCGTCACTTGTGTTTCTTTAAATAGGAAATAGGTGATTTGAGGCGTACGATTCAGCCGAGTCTTTCACACTTCTTGTATACGCACTCTTCTTCCCCCCTTTATTAACAACATTTTCTCACTTATTTATACATTCTCACATCATTACATGAAATAAGCTAATTATACTAATTATAGAATGATGATTTAAGCACTATAATGATGATGAGCAATCTTACAATGTCATTGTCGTCGCTCACAGTCATTACATTGACTAGTCGTGACAGGATCGGATCTCGTCATCCAACGTAGATCGATCACGTGTCGGCGTAATAACATTGTTCGTTGTGAGGCGCGTACGATCTTCTATTATCGTCGCTCACTTTCGTCATGTTAATTACATGTCTATGGTCTTATTATCGTGACACTTGCTAATGTTAGACAGATATTTTATTATTGTCTATTTTTATTTTACCCCTTACATTTTTCCCTCGCGCTTATCTTATGCGTACTACGCATTAAGATTCTCACTAAGGGTATCCATCACAGTGCCTTGCTAATGATTGAATCGCTGGGTCGTCGGTCGTTCTCCTGGGTATGTTATTTCTTGTTCTTTTCTTCTCCTTTTCCATAGCCACTGCTTACAAATTCGAGGGTTCATTAATAAACTTATCTTTCTTATAACATGTTTAGCATCTCCAAGATCAGTTTCGTTGTTGACGGGTTTCTTGTGTATAGTGTCGTATCCTCCTCCCTGGTCGCGATAGTTTGCGGCATCTCGTTGTCTTCTCATGTTGTGATGGTTAAACAGGTTAAGTGATTTTCTCAAGCTTTCATATTGACTTTTATCCACGTCTCTTTTGTTCTTTATTTTATCCATCGTTTCACCATCCACATACTGATTTGTGTTGTTGTAGGTTAGCCGTTCTTCCGTGTTTCGATCGTTGATCGAATCAGATGGTATTTTGTTTAGATTTAAGCTTCCATATTGGCTTTCTACGTTTCTTTCGTCCTTCTCTGGTTTATCCATTATGTTATTGCTCACGTACCGTTTTTCATCATCATGGGCAACCAATACCTCATCGTAAGTTAGTTCTTGACCTTCCTTCGTTTCATCCTTTGGGGCAGCTTCACCAACCTTTTCCGCATCGTCATCCACCGGCACGACTTCCCTTTGCGGATCGGGGCATATCCTTTCATCATGGCTTCCTTCCGCTTCGTCACGTGGTGACATACTTTCAGGTCGGTTTCGAGTTCCCTCTTGATGGTACTTTATTTTTAGGTTCCGCGCAACTAACCTATCGGTTTCTTTCGGTTTGCTCGCTGTCTTATCTATGTCGTCGTTTTCCTTACTGTTTTTAGTCGCTACAGCTTCATCATCATCGGAATACTCTTCCGTCGTTTCTTCTAGGTATGTGTCCGTGTCCTCTTGCACTGTTGGTGTCTCGTCGGTAAGTTTTAGTGTCTCGTCTGTTTTCGATATTTCATTATCTTTCTCCCTCAGGATCTCGGCAATGCTAGTCGTTGGGATTTCGTCACAGATAGGTCCCGATGCTTTATTTACGGATCCGATTGATGTATACTTACTAGGACACTTATCCAAAATCTTTTCTCTTTTGTGCAGGTCGGGATGTAACTCTTCATCGCGGTGTGTCTCGTTGCTCACGATACATAGGTCTTCCGGTGATCGTCTCAGCTTTCCGTCGTCTTTGCGGAGTTGCATTTCGTTTACCTTCGACAACCCTTGGAGAATATCGTCCTTCCTTGGACAATTCTCAGCGTCATAGTTTCTCTCTCTTGAGTCCCTACGACCCTTGTCCCTTATTCCCATTGGTGTCTCTTCTGGTTTAGTCGCGTTTCCTTCGGCGAGGTCAGCAAGTACGTCACGTTTTGACTCTATCTGTTGTATTTGTTTCTCTAATCCTTTGATGCAAGTTTCCAATTCCTTTGTCTTGTTGGCCTCCCGTTCGATTTTTATCGCTTCTTTAAGTGTCTCCTTCGGTGTGACTAAATCTCTCATAGTGGGTTGTAATAAGATGTCATCCCTTAGCCCGAGTACTAGCAGCCAGTTTGCCACTCTTTTGGAGTAGTCGTTCTTTGGGTAAAGCTTTCCCAATAACTTCGTAAACCTTCGGGCGTATCCAACCACCGTCTCGTTTTCACCTTGTTTAATTGTTTCCAGCTCCCTCTCCCATTTGTGACATTGTTCAAAATGCTGTATAAACGTCGGCACAAAGCTCCATTCAGGGTCGTACTCGTCATCCCAGTATGCTAATCGATCTCGTTGTCCTTCGTACCATTCTAGTGCATCTTCCTCCAGATACTTACCTATTTGCCTTAGTTTTTTGTTATCCGTCCAATTCAAACGGGTAGTGGCTTCGTTATAGCGTTCAATCCATGATCGCGGGTCGTTTCCTGGTCTACCTCCGAATTTATATCTTTTGGTTCGCAGAGTTTTCGTCCCTATTTCCGGTCTCGTTACGTCTATCGGCACCGCCCGAATATTTCGTCGCAGGGAGGTAAATGAAGTTGTATCGCATCCTACTTTTACCATTTTTTTTTTTTTTTTTTTTTTTTTTTTTATATATTGTAGTACAGATGATAGCCGATCGTAATTAACTAATTAGGGATAAGAATGATGTTCCGGCGGTTCTGGAGCGTCCAATCTCACAGTCACCACCAAAATGTGGGAGTGGATGATCTTGGCGAGGCGTTTGATTTGACCGAGGTAAGTAATTTCCCTTTATTAATTTTCTTTTTGT